TGATGAAAATTATACATTAAATGAAAAAGTTTATAAAACAGTATATATAATATAATCCCATTTGAGAGGTAAAATACATTTAAAGCTGTGTATGAGGCAGGGGCATTCCTTGTGGTCAGATTTAAGGCCAGTCTGGGCAACACAGAGAGATGCCATCTCTACCCCCCAAAAATAAAACAAAAATAAATTTTAAAAAACTGTGTATATGTGCATGCATGTATCAAGTCTGGAAGGATACACATCAAAAGATTTAGAATACTTAGTTAACTCTGGGTTGTATGAACATAATTTTTCTTCTTTTCATTTATCTATATTTTTACTTTTCTCCTATACACCATTACTTTTCGTTTGTTTGTTTGTTTGTTTTTGAGACAGGGTCTCACTCTGTCAACCAGGCTGGAGTGCAGTGGTGTGATCATAGCGCATTGCAGCCTTGAACTCCTAGGCTCCAGCAATCTGCCCACCTCAGCCTCCCAAGCAGGTGCGAGCACAGGTGTAAACTGCCTCCCAAGTAGGTGCGACCACAGGTGTAAACTGCCTCCCAAGTAGGTGGGACTACAGGTGCAAACTGCAAAACATGTTGAAAGGATCTATTCCCAAAACTGAACAAATCCTTTTATATGAAGTTCCAGAACAGACAAAATTAAGCTATGGTGATAGAAAGCAGAACAATGTCTGCAGCAGTAGGGAGGGCTGACTGGAAAGGGGCAGGACAGAACTTACTAGAGTGACTTAAGAAGTTTGTACCTTGATGCGGGGGCAAGTTACAAAGGATTATACATACGTCAAAGTCCACCCAAAATACATGCTCAAAATCTGTGCATTTTTGTGTATGTAAATGAAACCTCAATTACTAAAAGAAAGAAAAAATAGCTTATAGTACAACTCAGACTCTACCAAAAAGTGATTTACTTCTGGTTGTATTAATAATATCAAAACCTTACAAACCATACCTCCTCATTTCCCTTCCAGTTAGTTACAAACATCCCTCGTTGATATCTATACCCCCACTCCACACATACCCACCAAAAGGTGAATGTGATCATAAAACACTTACGGCCTAAAATAACTTTTACTGTCAAGGTCAAATCTTCTACTTCTAAATATTCAATAGTGTTTGTTAGAAACGTGTTAAACAGCCAAACATTCCTTATTTAATTTTTTCTTTAAATAATGAGAAAATTATGCTGAAACTATACAATGTCAGAACACAACATATATGTGGAACAGCTGTTTGAGAAGATAATACCGTTTGCTTCCTAAACTACTTCACAGGAATGTCTTGAAGATTAATGAGACAATGGACCAGATTGTTTTCAGTGGGTGAACTGTTTGCTGTTGGTAATTTGGGTACATCAGACCGCTAGAATACCATTACCATTAAAGCAAAATAGCAGACTTAAAATTTTATATTCTAATAGTGAAGTTTTAAAATATTCAAAATGGTGTTTTTCGACACATAATTTATACTTGAAATGTACTTTAATTCCTTTAAATAAGAACAGAAAGCTTTTGATTGCTGAGTTAAGCAATAAAGCTTTTCTTTTTAACCTTTTAAGTGTTTATCATTATACTAGTTGCCCAGCGATGAAAACAAAAGATACAGTCACTTTTGTTCCTCACAATTTAGTGAGGAAAACATACAAAAAATAGTATAAATGCAATATGACAACCCTTTTAAAAAAATTCCTATGCACTTGGTCCTCCAGAAGTATCTGGATGGGGCATTTGACCAGAATGGGACGGAGACCTGTGAGGCGGAGGGGTGGGTATCAGAGAAGGCCTATGGGAAGCAGTGGCACCTGAGCAGACCGCCCCTAGAAGGATGTGGCCTTCAGTCAAAAGGAGGGCCTAGGGGCTGTGCAGAGAGTGCTCAGGCTCGACTCCACAGATGCAAAGAAAGGTGGCCAGCCCAGGAGACACAGGGTACTCCTAGAGGTCTCCAGTGCCAGGCAGGGCAGGAGATGAAAAAGGAGAGGCCGAAGCAAGCAGACTGGGAAGAGCCTTCTAGCAAGGAAAGAACATATGCATCTGGACTCAGAAAGACTTAGACAGATGTGGCGGCCAGCAGCCTGAAGGAAGTAACTGAAGTCATCACCCAAGGAGGTCTGCAGCATGCACACAGCAGAAGACTGTTGCAGAAATCCTGACAGCAGGCCCCAGTGAAGAAGAAACAGGGAAAAGAAAGCTGGGCAGGTGCGGTCAGATATGTGAACAGTATGTCACAAAATCCAAAGAGGAGAGAGCAGGAGGGAATAACTCACAGTGACAAGTCACAGAGACGAGACTACAGTCTTGTTTGAATTTGACAGTTTGTGGGGTATATTAGACCCTTCTTGCTTTGTTATAAAGGAATACCCGAGACTGAGGCATTTATAAAGAAAAAAAAGAAAAAAAAAGAAAAGAAAAGAAAAGAGGTTTAATTGCCTCACGGTTCTGCAGGATGTACAAGCACAGCCCCAGCATCTGCTGGGCTCCTGGGGAGGCCTCAGGGAGCTTTTACTCATGGCGGAAGGCAAAGCGGGAGCTGGTACATTATGTGGTGAGAGAGGAAGCAAGAGAGCAAGTGGAAGAGGCTTCACACCTCAAACAGCCAGATCTTGTGAGAACTCATTACAGCAAAGACAGCACCAAGGGGATGGCGCTAAACCATCATGAGAAATCCACTCCCATGATCCAATCACCTCTGGTCAGGCCCTATCTCCAGCACTGGAGATTACATTTCAACATGAGATTTAGATGGGACGAATATCCAAACTACATCATGGGGTCTCAGGTGCCCTCAGCAAGAACAGGTTCAATGAGATGATGGAGAACAACGGAGGAAGTGGAGTTCTTGCAGACTACAGCTTTCAGCAAGTCTGGCTGTGAAGGGAAGAGGAGGCAACCACAGATGGCGATGGATTCTGGTTGAAGGACGGTTTTGAGAGGGTGAGGAGAGGGAGTTTAATGCCATCTGTTTGTATTTCTTTTGCAGTTTTGGTTTCGTTTTGAGAGTTTCCAGTGTTTATATATTAAGACAAAAGAATCATTTATTAATAGAAATGGTAGGAGAACATTTTAAAATCAGGAAATAACTAATAAAGACACCAAACAGGAGAGAAGGATGGAATAGGAAAGTTATTAAGAGGTATCTGTAGGGGTGGAGGTGTCCAGAGGAACGTCTCTTTCACTGAGAAAGAGGAGGAAGCCCTGAAGGTGGGTTTAGGTATCAAAGAGTTTGTAGGTGTTGAGAAGGAGGCTGAGAGGATTCCTTTTCTCATTATGGTACCAAGAGAGCTTATTTTTGTTGACCTAGGATGGCGAGGTTGGTTTCTGGTTTCTCAAATACTACTTTAAGGAAAGAAAGCTACACAATTATTCATCTAAAATAAGCATAAAAGTGAGAGTTAAATAGTTAATACATTTCAGATATTTCACTGTCTTGTTTATTTGCAATGACATAAGGGTGACACACAGTGCTTAAAATGAACTTAATTTTACCAAAATTAGTTCATTTCACCCTTACAGATGACAGTTGGTTATCAGTGACTGATACACAATAAACCTGGTATATACTAATACAGTATATCAATAAACATTTATTAGAAAACACAAAATTAAAAGCTAACTTAAAAACACAATCACTAATTCTACATAGAACTTTTAGAAACTTTCAGGGAGAGAGAAAGAGTATCTCTACAAAAAAGTCACACACTTCTTCTGGTCATATAAAAGAGGTTGAGGCAACAACTTGTAGAAACTATTATTTGTATTTGTGTTGAACTAATAATGTACAGTATACATGAAAGCTGCTTCCCAAACTGTGTATGACAGGTGTTCTACTGAAACAGATCACTAACCGTATGTGCTCACCAGACTTCAGAGTGCTTATGCTCCTTTCCGCCCTCCACCTCACCCGCCTGGAAGATGGTGCCTCGCAGCTAACAATACAGGCTTTTTTGGCCCCTTGAGAAATATATCATCTACCTACACAAGGGCAGCTGCAAGCCATCACTAATGAGAGAGTATCAAATGAAACACTTTGCTACAGTGATACTGTTCCTAAAGATACTACAGAGTACTGCATATACAAATTTTAAATATAAGAATAGAACTCAAAGAAAGAAGACAATGAGGAATAAATTCATTATGTATTCCCCAAAATCTATAAAAATAAAATAATTATTTTTAAGTGAATAAGCAAAATGAATGAGTATTGTATGCTACCATCTGAATAAATTTTTAAAGGAGTAGATAGAGAGCTAGATATTCATATAAACACGCACACAAACATATACTAATATATAAAAATATTCCAAAGTATGTGTTTTTGAAAGTCATTCACGGTCACGGTATCCTCTGCGCTAGACTTACCATGTCAGAGATGTGAGAGATTTAAAAGCTGTTAAAATGAGAGGTTTTTCCCTTCCAACGACACAGAAATCAGGAAACAGAAAAAAGGAAGAGGTTCAGGACCTTTCCCAGCTATGCTATGTCTTCCAGAGCCACTGATGAGGGCCAACCCCTCCCCAGTCTCAGCCTACAAACCACACTGTGCCAAGGCCCAAGTCTTTCTGTGGCAAAAAGCACACGGAAAGGAGGAGCCCTGTCAGAAGGTGCAGTGGCCATGGAAAGAGGAGCCCAGTGGCTCTGATCCCCACAGGCTCCCAGACCTGTGCTGGAGGAGAATCCTCGCTCCCCAGCAGGTAGGCAGGTAGGCAGGCAGGCAGGCAGGCAGGCAGGCGGGCGGGCAGGCGGGCGGGCGGGCGGGCGGGCGGGCAGGCAGGCAGGCAGGCAGGCAGGCAGGCAGGCACACCCTTTCTCCCTCTCCGTCCCCATAAGGACAACTCTATGTACATGCCCCAAATACCAAGAAAGGCATTTCAGTTAAATGTTAGTCACTAAGAAAATGGGGTTTTGGAAATTCACTTTGTAACATGTTTATCCTTTTGTGCGCCTGTAGGTTTTGGGGGATTACTTTTCTGATATATTTGCTTTTATCAAAAAGGAAAACTTACTGTTGATGTGATCGATGTAGTAGACACCAATCTGAGGGTCAAACCCTGCTTCCCATCCCCACGGCAGCTCATCCCCAACACAATCAGCAAATGACAAGGGCTTCGTTAACCTACAACAAACCAGAATAGACACACCAGTGATTCTTTCCGTCAAACCGCATATGTCAAAATTCAGCACCCTAACCACAAGTGTCTAGGTTGCATTTAAAATCTTGAAGAAAAAACAAAACAAAACAAAACAAGGATAAAATACAGATGTGTATATCCAAAAAAGTAGGACAAGTCACAGTAACCTTTTGAAAGTTCACTGCTTAATATTTGGAGATAAATCTAGTATTTGGAGATAAATCTATACAATAAATAAATGAAGACATCCTAAATCAGGGAGAACGCCAAGCTGAGAGTGAGGAAGCCTGGGATCTAGCTCTAGCTCTGCAGTGAAACAGATACCCCATTAAAAAGAAAAATGTATCCCAGGATTCAAATACTGGTATCATGAAAATACTATCAGTAGTTTTGAGACAAGATCCGCATCAGGTTACATCAATTTCAGACTGGATGTTCATATATAAATTAACTAAACACTCAACTGTGAAGTCTACTATAAGTTCTCCTTGAGAGGAAGGACAATTTTTTTTATAAGTATCTTGTACATAACAGTCACTCAACAAAATTTTGAACCAAACCAAATACATAAAGTATTCATTCATACATCAATGTGATCTCACCTTTTGAAATTGCTTTATACTCTCTCAAGACCACTTTTTCTTTAAGACACTTTCTCTGTAGGAGTTTTTCTCTTTAAAACGAATGAAGAAACTACAGTTTCCTAAGCAGAGTACAGGTTTCAGACTTAATTACAATACATTTTTTTTTTCTCACTCTCTTGCATTTTGCTTTTGAGATTTTCCCTGGCTACTGGAGCAGCCATGGGCAGGTTAACACCACAGATGCCTTGCTGGAGGGTGGCCACCATCAGTCAACACATTTTCTAACTTAACGCACTGGCACCACTAGCATGGTTCTTACATACAAAATCTCCTGGAATCCCTTTTATCCATGCTAACGACTATCAAAGATCTCACGTTCAACTGAAATATAGGTCATTTTCAGAATTATATCATTCATCAGAATAACAAAGTACATCATCCACCCTTCAGAATGCTGAAGAATGATATACAAGGAGGAAAATTCTTTTTTTCCAGGCCTATTCTGCAATAGTCATCCAAGGACACAAAACAGCAATAGAAAGGAAGGATCTATTTTCCTCTCAACCTTCCTATAGCATGAAATCTCTCCTCCTAGAGATAGCTCCAAAGAAGACACTGGCCTTCCAAATCAGCTCAGCAGACAGAAGCAATAATGAGGGTAACCCGTTCTACCACTGACTCACTGTGAGACCACTTACTGGGCACCTCTTCCTACCTCAGTTTCCTTCTCTTTTAAGTGATGATTACACCCTCACATATTCTCCCTGCAATTTAACTAGCTCCTAAAATTAAACTCAGGATAAAAAGGAATTAACTTGGAAGAGCATCCGGGACGTTATAAGTAGTCAAAGTGTCAGATTATTAACACAAGCACATGTGAACTCTCTCATTTATCCCTCAGAGGAATCAAGTCAGGCAGCACAGCACAGAACTGTGGTTCTCAGAATATAGTTCCCAGAACCAGCAGCATCAACATCTGGGACCTTGTTACAAACACAAATTCTAGTTGGGCACCATGGTTCACACTTGTAATTCCAACACTATGGGAGGCTGAGGCAGGAGGATGGGTGAGACCAGGAGTTCAAGACCAGCCTAGGCAACACAGTGAGACCCTGTCTCTACAAAAAATAAAAAATTAGCCAGGAATGGTGGCTCATGCTTGTAATCTCCACACTCTAGGAAGCCAAGGTGGGAGCATCACTTGAGCCCAGGAGTTCAAGGCTGCAGTGAGCCGTGATCACACCACTGAATTCCAGCTTGGGCAACAGAGCAAGACCTTGTCTCTAAAAAAAACTAAAATGATTTTTAAAAAATAATAGAAATACAAATTATTGAGCCCTATTGTAGAATCAGAAACTCTAGGTCCCAGCAATGTATGCTTTCCAGGTACTTCTGCTCCACACTAAAGTGTGGGAACCACGGGCTTAGAAGTCAAGAGCTTGAAATTTGGCATCAAAGAGATCTGGGCTCAAATCTTTATTCTGCCACTTACTCACTATACAAACTAGAGAAAGTCATTAGCCTTAAAAGCCCTAGTTTCCTAACGTAATTTTTTAAGGGAATAGGAGGAAAGATTAAGTTTAGATGAGAACTAAACAGTATAACACCCAAGAAATGGTAAGCTTCAATATATGTTAGATGAGTAAAATGAATCTCAAACATGTTAAGCAATATGCCCAAATGTGGCAACTTGCCATATTCACTTTGTAAACATGGAGTATATTTGAACTCAATCTGAGTTCAAATGCAAAACAATTTATTCTTAGAATTGTGCTCAAATTCTGTCTTATATCAAAACTGTCCCAGAAAACTGATTTTTCTTTTGACAAAGAGTGAGATACCATATCAAAAATCCCTATACCCTATATACCTCCTTGTCTACATACATGGTCTCTTTGACGACCTCAATAAAGCAACTAGATAGAGCTCCTGTGCCAGGTCACCCTCTGTATCATTGTTTGATGATTCTCTTTCACTAACTCCACTATCAATGCTGTCTAAAAGGCACATGCATCCTAAAGAAATGAAGAAGGAGGAAACATGAGAATGGGAAGTTTAAGTGACAAAAGAGAAATATTAGACCAGCATTGCCCAGGCACCAATTCGATGTGCTTAAGCATGAGTACGGCAGGAATATACTTATTACTTTAAGAATAAGAAGTTATAAAAGCTTGAGAGCATGTGCTATGATTACAAGTTAATAGTAACTTGATTACATTTGGAAATAATCCAGTTTGTTCCACTAACTGGTTAGCAGATAAGCATTTAATTGTCACTGTTCTGAGACTACAATTACATCTGTAGGTATACATGTAATCGTGAACTCTGAAAAATTCAGAAGATTCCATTCCTAAAATTTTGAATATAAAAATCTCTTTGCAGAGTTCCCTCAAATATCAATTTAATACTTTATTTTCTATATATGGATAAACATATATATTTTCTCTGCACTCTATCAATAAGTAAAAGCATTACATAGATATTTGCAAATATTAAAATTTTAGGATTGAATTCTTATGCAAATTATAAAATATAAATAGACAACATTATCAGGTTCCAAACAAATTAAGAACCCAATTACGGTGCTATCCTGATAAAAAGAAAATACTACTATGATGTACTAAGAAGTTTAACACAAAGCAAAAAGAACTAACAGATGTATTCCAAAATTACAAACAATATAAATTAAAACAAATACAGTGAACTGAAATGTTAATTAACTTTTAAATTTCTTCTTCTTGTTGTACACAAGGAATTTCTTACACATTCAAGCTTTCTTTAAGTAAGTAAAAATGGATGGAGTTTGTTTTTGGTTGATTCCCTGCAAAGGAGCAACAACAAGCAACAACAACAAAATCCTGAAATTAACTAGAGTCTTTATGCTGAATTCCAGAGATTACTGTTTGCTTAAAAAGGTCTTCCTTTGCACTGTGCAAAGGAATTTCATATTATGAAGAAAACGGTAATTTACTGCAGCACTTTGCCAATGTTTATATGCAAAATTTAACTCTGCATGGTATTTCCTCTCCTTGCTGGCATTATATCATTCTTTCAAACTCATTTAATATTTATTGTCAACTCAAATATGTGTCCTATGACATGAGATGCCATACAGTGATGTATCTGTTTACTTCAAAATTACATGATGGTGAATACCGTGTGAGTACAAGCACAACTCCAAAAAAAACTGAGTTTGTACTAATTGCACTAAATGAATAAGCACTTGAAAAAAACATTTCAGGTTACTAAAACTCTTGCCACCATTCAGAGCATCCCATATGTATAGTTTAGCACAAACATTAAAGGTCTTAACAGTTATTTTTACTTTGTAGCATCTGTTCTCATTGTTTAGCTAACACAAAGCAGAGCTCATACTGTCAACTGCTTATGATTACTACAGAATCTGCTCACAGGAACATTACTGAATTGCTCTAAGAGAACAGAGAGGAAGTAAGATGTGTTTCACAACTTGAATTTTAAAGCAAGGATAAAGCACTAGAAATCTTTCCACAGTCCTAAAAGAATCTTCATTTATAAATGATGTCAATTAGTTCCCTCAAAATAACTTTTTTGTTCTTTTTTTTTTTTTGAGACTGAGTCTCGCTCTGTCAATCAGGCCGGAGTGCAGTAGCGTGATCTCTGGCTCATGGCAACCTCCATCTCCCTGGTTCAAGCAATTCCCCTACCTCAGCCTCTCCAGTAGCTGGGATTACAGGTGCCCGCCACCATGCCTGGCTAATTTTTTTGTATTTTTAGTGGAGACAGGGTTTCACCATGTTGGCCTGACTGGTCTCAAACTCCTGACCTCAGGCAATCTACCTCCCTCAGCCTCCCAAAGTGCTGGGATTACAGGCGTGAGCCACCGCGCCTGGCCAACAACTTCTATCTATCACTAGATAGGGAAACTAGCAACACAAAGAAACAGACAAAGGAGAATAGTAGAAAATGGTGGATAGAGGCAACAAGAAAAAAAAATAGCTTTTAGGAAAAATTATACAAACCACTTCGGAAGATAATGAGATTAGTTCCCTGTGTGTGAGGAAAGTAGCTTAAATTATTAGAAAGAAGTCATATTAGAAGGCCAGGCGCGGTGGCTCACGCCTGTAATCCCAGCACTTTGGGAGGCCAAGGTGGGCGGATCACCTGAGGTCGGGAGTTCGAGACCAGCCTGGCCAACTTGGTGAAACCGCGTCTCTACTAAAAATACAAAAATTAGCCAGGCGTGGTGGCACACGCCTGTAATCCCAACTACTCAGGAGGCTGAGGCAGAAGAATCGCTTGAACCCAGGAGGTGGAGGTTGCAGTGAGCCAAAATCGGGCTATTGCACTCCAGCCTGGGGACAAGAGCGAGACTTCATCTCAAAAACAAAAACAAAAAAAGAAAGAAGTCATATTACATA